TGGGGATCCGAGTTTGCAGGCAGGGGGCGGTGTAGGCGCGATGACGAGCCTACCGCGGATTGAGCAGGCCCGGATACGTTGCAATATAATCCATAAGCCCTAAACCCTAAACGCTAAGCCCTAAACCCTAAACCCTAAGCCCTAAGCCCTAAACCCTAAATCCTCAAGTTACAGAGTATAGCTATATCATAGTTAGGGTGTGCAACTTTCGGATCTGGAGTTTAGAGTGGCTTTACAGTACAGGGATCCATTTGGGAATATTATGTCTATCATTCCTGCCAGTTCCATGATTATTGCTAGTACTAGGTTTCATGTTGAAGGTTTGTGGTCAAGGATGAGTTCAGGGGAAGTCTTTTGGCCCTGTTCGCGAACAACTTTCATATTCCCCCAAGCTTCCAGGTTTGAGATGACGGGAGCTATAGTCGAAACTCCTAGTATTCCCTGGAATAAGCCCTATAATACTTCCCTATATAAGTAGGTCAGCTGATGCCATGACAGCATTCGGAGAACACTGACAAGATGAACAGTTACAACAACAAGCACAGTTCTTGTTGACACGACAGACGACGCAGGGACCAAGCTACAATCAGAAATGTGAATCAGCAAGTGCGCAAAAAAATAAAAAAAAGAGACACGTAGTCACAATGGTTCTGAGTACTCAAGTAGTTGGTTGAGTTCAACACCACGAGTCGATTCCCACTTCCATTTATCATGCTCAGACTAGGCACTGACATGCGAAAGCAACCTTGATTGCATTGATGCTTATGCAGCAGTCCTTCGTTCGGCTTGCTCCAAGACGTTGTGGAGTAATCTGTGTAACGAAGTCTTCCGTGATGTTCTGCAACGCAGAGCCTAGGAGCGCTAAAAGGAGCACTCCGTGTCAGCCTGGACGTGGATACAAAAGCTGCGCTCCACGTTACCTGTGAGTCAGCAGCTGCGCAGCTTTGCAGCGACGCAGATGCTCTTCGTGCCCACGCCAAACGGCGGACGCTGTTTCCAGAAGATCTCCAGCTAGCTGGTCGGCCACGTGTGTCAGCTGGTGATCCAAGGCTCCGAGATCGCAGCCCCTCCCCGGACACATGCTGCGCCACCGGACCTGGACGACCTCCAGAATCTTCCAGAGGGAGTGCTCGCTAACTGACTGGACTGGGGAAAGGCAAGCAATGGCGAAAGAAGGAAAATTTGAAATGCCCCTGCATACTGGCGCTGTGTGAGCTCAGCAACTGGAGTTCGTCGTTGTCCGTGCTTTTTTTAAAAGAGAGCATACTACTTGTCGTGCGAAGAATCGAGAAGCCTGTTGTGGTGACAAAAACACGGTTCATGGTTGCGCATTTCTCCCCTGTGACGTGGTTACGACCTCCCCTGCCTGTATAAATAGCGCTCTATGTGGAGTTTAGATTGTAGCTCTGATGGATTGGGATGTTGCCGTGCAAAGCTTCATCAATTCTAGATCCAAAGGAGCAGGCGAATCTGGTCATCCCGCTCTCCACCAGACAAATCTGCTTATACCAGAAGCTTTTTCCCAAACCCCATACACTAAACCGTAAACCTTAAGCCCAGTGAGCCAAATTTCAAATCTTACCCTAAACCCCAAACCCTTATCCGGTTTAGGGTGTAAGCGTGCTATATGAGCCCCCGGGTTTAGGGTTTAGGCTACCCAGCACTTTACATGCAAAGTATGCAGAGGCGCGGATGCAGAAGCAGGCCCAGTTGGATTCGCTTTGAAGTGGTTGGGCTTCAGGGCTCCGACGTTGTAAGCGCAAAGGGGGGAGATTCCAGCTATGGTCTAAACTCCTACTATCCCCCTTACCCCCCCTTATAATACTCCCTTATATAGTCCCCTATATAACCCCCTTGAAGGAGTTTAGATCCCAAAGCCTTAAACCCTAAATCCCAAACCGTAATCCCAATAGAATCCCGTATAAACCCTAAACCCTAAACCCCCTTCAAGGAGTTGAGATTATCGTTCATTTCAAGCTTAGGTGGGTTGGCTGAAGGACAGCCATTGTCCGGTCCTTTGCATGCAGGGCTACACTTCCGGCCGTTTAAGGATTTAGATTTTTCGGGTTAAAGGTTTAGGCTCTAGGGTTTTAGGGTTCCGGGTTTTAAGGCTTTGTTTAGAGTTTAGGGTTTTAGGGTTTAGGGTTTAGGGTTTTTGCCAGGCGCGAGGCGATGTAGGTTCCTTGAGGCGTCGCGGTCGCCCCAGCCCAGGCTTTATGGGGATATAGGGGGGTTCCCAAAATTAGGGTCCCATTCTGGTGCCCGTAAACATTTGGCGCCGTAAATATACTTTACAACCAAAAGTGGCCCATAATTTCGAGAGTAACCCGTATAACCTCAACCCTAACCGTATATAACCTTTACACAACCCAAATATAAACTCTACATAGCCCTATGTAGCCCATCAGAAAAGCCGTGGCCATGCAGACATGCAGGACGCATATTTTGACGGAAGTGGTGAATCAGCGTAAACTCTTTCAAGGCGTATGTTGCTATGACTTTAGCAACGATGCAGGCTCCTGCTTTAGGGTTCACTTAACATTGCAAAAGTCACCGCACACAACCGGAAGTATATGGCTTAGGGTTTAGGGTTTACAGACAACATCCTTCTGAACTCCATGCATTGGTCAGTGGGGGTTTCTACGGCAGGGCTGGAGTTTTTTGCACGTACTGCCTGATGCTTTGTAGGGAATGACGTGCTGGATCCCTGTGTAAAACAGTCCCTATATCCGGTGTGGGTCTATTGTGGGTAGTTGGTGAGTGCATAGCTGGGTGGATGGGTGGATATACTGTTGATGGAGGAAATCTTGCACCACCTTAACTCCCCAAAGTCCTAAGAATTACAATACTTCAGGGGTCCTAGGCGGTGCAAGATTTCCTCCATCAACAGTATCCCCTTAGCCCAGCATCCAGAGTTGTCCCGATACCCCAAAAACCTTCAATATCATCCAGGAGAGTCCCGATAGTCGCTTAATGTATCTTCTACTAGGCAGAAAGGAGTAGGCTGTCAAGGGCATTCAGTTGAGACTCAGCCCTTAGAGCCCCATACCTTATAAGGAATCCCCAGCCACGATTAGTGACCCTAGGGGATCAAGGCGATTATACAAGGGTACTGTTATATAACCCCACTATCAGTTCGTGTTGGCATCACTTAACACATACCCTAAACCCTCAAACCTAAACCTTAAACCCTAAATCCCAAGCCCCAAACCCTAAATTCCTAAACCCTAAACCCTAAATCCTAAACCCTAAACCCTAAATCCTAAGCCCAAAACCCCAAATCCTCAAAACCCTCAACCCCAAACCTTAAATCCTGAACCCTCACGCAAGGTGTCGCTGCCTGAGTTTCGGAAGCTTACCGGCCACGTGGCTGTGGGTGGACAGTGCCTATCCCAGGCTGCTAGGGTGCAGCCTGTGGGGGCTTAGGGTTTTGGGTTTGGGGTTTAGGGTTTTGGGGTTTTAGGGTTTTAGGGTTTTGGGTTTGGGGTTCGGGGTAAACTTCAGGGTTTGGGACTTAGGGTTCAGGGTTTCGAGATCAGGGCTCAGTGTTTGGGAGTCAAACACGCTTTAGGATCTAGGCTTGAGGGTTCAGTATTCATGATTTTGTTTAGGGTTTCCTCGCTTGGGATTGGCATTCGGACTCCAGGGCGTATGGACTGAGACATGGAGTGGGGATGAGGAATTTAAAGGCAGCTGGAGGGATTAGGGCCTCAAGGTTGAGGGGCTCGCATTAAGGACGTTACTTGCTGGGGCTCAGTAGTCAATAAGCGAGTATATTCCCTACATAATCTCTATAGAATAAATTCCCAGGTTCCTTACTAAGCCCCAGTAAGCTTCAGGACTTTGGATGTCGGTGTCTTGAGTTTAGATTTTCAGGTTCAGATTTTCAGGTTTAGGCAGAGGGGTTTAGAGCTTTGCATGCCTAGGTACTGAGCCCTAAGCCCTAAATGGGTCTAGGGTTTAGGGTTTAAGGAAACCCGGAAAAACCCTCTTAACTCCCAAACGCTCAGCCTGATCTCGGAACCCTTAATCTTAAGTCCCAAACTCTGAACCTTACCCCGAACCTTCTAGAAGAAAACTGGCAGACCATCCTGTCTCGATCAGCACTCGTGGCACCATTCTGCGCCGGGCGATTGCTGCATGACACTCGGTCTGGAATGCAGCCGGTCTTTGAAAAGCTTCATGAGCCAGGCGCGCACGTGACGTACTTCTCTGCATCTGATGATGTCCATGGAGCCCGGATAGACCTTCGTGATCTTGACCATGACCACACCCGGTGGCTTGCAAGCGTGAACATGAATGCCTGCGCCGGCGACATCGTCGCTGCAGCTCAGCGCAATGCAGAGTTTGTGCAGACCTCTTGTCGCCGTTTCGATATGTGGATATTGTTTGTAGTCGCCAATCGCCGTTTTAGAGTAACATTATATCCTCTCTTTCGTCATAGTATAATCAATAGCATATACAAGAAGAAGAAGACGATCCCTTAGGTGTAGTTCCTGCGGTGTGCGTTAAGGAGGGAAGTGGGCTTTCAAAGCAGTACCCTTTGACAACCTTGATCTTAAGGACTCTGACTGACGGCTGACAGTTTGGTTACTTAATTGCCACTCTTAATTGCCACTTATGCAGGGCGCCGTTTTGGAATTAAGGGGTCAGGGCTGGAGGTCCTGGGCTATTGGTTTTGTGAGTTGTACCCATTATTGCGGTAATTTAGCAAAGGAGGTCAGGAATCCTCAGTACGAGTTGGCGCCTAAGCGCGCATTCCGACAGGGCGCATGGTCATCTAAGAGTCTGGAATGCGACGCCCAACCTAGCACCTCGAGTGCACTTTTACCTTCCTCAGTTTAAGTCCTTCAACCCTAAATCCCACAACGCCTGAACCCTAAACTCCAATGCCCTAAGCTCGAAACTGCAAGCCCCGAAGTGTAAAAGCCTAAACTCTAATTCCTAAACCGTCAACGTTATCGAAGCAACAAGCACCCAATTCCTTGCAAGCCTTTCAGGGTCTGATGCCCGGAGAACATGAGCCAACTGTGTCAGAATGGCCGGATTCTTACGGAATGCTTTAGGATTTGGGGTTTGGGGTTTTGGATTTGGGGTTTTAGAGTTTACAGTAGGGTTTCGTTAGGTCTAGACTTGAGGTTGGTCCTTTTTCAGGGTTCTAGAACACCTTCGAGGCTGCAGCATACGACAGACACAAAGAGGACCACAAGTTTAACCGGACACCCCATACCCCCAACCGCATACAACCCTAACCCGAAATCTTTCCATGGCCTTGACTTCCCTGAAGAGGGCTTAGGGTTTGTTGAGAAACATACACGTTAAAAGGGTTTTTGCCTAGTCTTAGCTTCGTTTGTAAACCCTGTATATTCAGAAAGTCCTGTATATACAGGGTGGGCTTAGGGTTTCCTCCTTGATATGGCCGCTATAACCTCCTTCAAAAATTTGCTGGGATTGCAGGAAGACGTTGAATGATTAAAGCTCGTGCTTTGCCTTAATACTTAGCATTGAAACCATGAGTCCCCAGTATGGATCCTTAATCTTGGGGTCCCTAAACACATATATATATATATATCTTCTTATATCATATACGTACCCTTTAACAGCAATAGAAATTTGCTTTGAAATACGTTCTCGCGATCAACGCAGTGTTGCGTAGCATTCCTACCAGGCCGCGCCGGTTGCTTCAAGTTAAAAGGTTGAAGGTTCACGAATCGGGACGCTGTCAATCAAAAGCCCCAAGGGGCATAGGGTTTAGGGTTTAGTGTCTGAGTCAAGTCAACCCGCAGCTCTTAACCCTACGCCTGGCAAGTAGGAGCGGACTGTACTTGGATATGCTGATTCGCATCAATGGGATTTTCTGCAAGTAGCGGTTCCGTTGTTGAGGCCTGAAGTATAAGGATTCTAGTATAATGGCTTCGGTATTGCGGCCCCCTATGTATGGAAATACACAAGCGAGCCCGACATACCCTAAACCCAGTACCCCACAGCCCTGAAGCCTAAAACCTGAACCCTAAAACCTACACCCTACACCTTAAACCCTAAATCCTAAACCCTAAATCCTACACCCTAAATCCTAAACCCTAAACCCTAAATCCTAAACCCTAAATTCTAAACCCTAAATTCCAAACCCTAAACCGAGCCACACGAGTCCAACAAAGGTCCCCCTTTGCCATTGGGAATCCGCGGGTTGAGACGGTCAAGGCAATTGCGGGCAATTTCTAACCTCAAAGGGTTCGGGGTTTGGGGTTTACGGTTTTGGATCTAGGGTTTATTACCATTACTTAGGGTTTGGGCCAGCTCATTTTGATTTCAAAATTTCAAAAATTAAGGAAATTTGGGTACTAAGTTGGTAAGTTTATATGGGCTTGAGGGTCTAGGGTTCGGGATTTAAGGATTAGGGCTTGGGGCTGAGGGTTTAGGGTTCAGGGTTCAGGCTTTGGGGACTAGTTAAAGGACGTGTAAAGCTGGTTACAACAGGTTCTATCCCCCTCATTTAGGGTTGCACAGGAATGCCCTCCTCCTTCAGATGTCCCATTGCCTGGCCCCCTTAAAAAGTTGTTTCCGAGATGAGCCGGGGCCCACAGATGATAGTTGCAGGTCTGGGTTCAGGGCTTGATGTTTCTGGGGTTCAGGTTTTGGAAGGGTGTAGGGTGTATTTTCTAGGACTTGATGTACAGGGTCTAGGATTTGCACAGTGTGGGCCCAAAGGACAACATACTTGGAGGGCCAGGGTAGTATGATTCTTCCACCCCAGGGAAATCATGGGATCACCCCGTTATCCCCATCATCAATCACCCCGTTATCCCCATCATCAAGTTTCTGACTGACGGGGTTAAAGGCTTAGAGTTTAGGGTTCAGGGCGTCAAAGTGGGAATGTTTGGTGAAAGGCCTTCGTTTATGAGTTGAAATGTCTTGAAAGTGATATGTTTTCTTAATGTTGTGGGACCTAATGGGCGGGTGGGTAGTTTTCTATGACTTAAGACAGCTGCTCTTGGAATGAATGCCTGGACTTGAGATGTGAATCCGGAACCCTAACCCTTAAATCTTGCATCCAATCTCTAGCCCAAACCTCTTAACCGTGTCGGTCCTCAAACCTAAACTCTAAACCTGAAACCCTAGACCCATACGGTAGTCCCCAACACCTAAACTTTAATCAGACCCAAGAAAACCATGCCACAGGCTCCAAGTCGTTTACACGGTTTAGGGTGTAGGGTTTACGTAGGGTTTGGGTTTTAACTCAATATGCAAACTACACCCGGAGTTCACACCCCTAGGGTTATTGAAGAGGAGACAGGGAGATTATGGGGTGATATATTTGCCGCGAAGTATTACTAAAGCCTCAACCTTCATCCTTTCGACCTCATGCATATCCTCACGACCTTACTTGGAGCTTCAGGGGGACTTAAGGAGCGTTTTTTTCTTTAAACCCCTCTTTGCGGCAAGCCGACCGCAGGTATCACCACCGTCACTGTAGACATGAAGTCCATGCGACTCCTCCAAGTAGTTGGAGAACGGGTCATATTTTGCCGTGGTATTTCGTGCACTTTTTGTGCTGGGGACTCGGTTTTGAGCACCGTCTACCAGATTGAGACTTTGGCGTTTTGGATCTGGAGAATGTTTTTGCAGGATTTCTTGGTGATAATAGCGTTCCTGATGCAAGAGCATACGGTCCATCCACGCCCAAAGCACAAGAATGATTCTGTTCCAGAAGCATACGGTCACCAGAGCATCC